GTGAGTGAGTCTCTGAACACATGTCGCCCCCTATCGGTCTTACAGCGAACAACACACAGAAGCCCCAGCACTCACTCCACAACAGCCTCTTTGACATTTAGATGTATGAAACAGAGAAATGCAGAAAAGTGACTTCAAGACTGAAAACAGACGAAGACTCGTTTTGCACTTGAGACAGATGTATAAAAGCAAATCAAGATTTTACCACATACTGTGCATACAAAATAAAACTTTTATTTCATTTTTTTATTTTGACTTAGATATTATCACAGCTGCATGTTTTTCTAGTGTCGTCTGAATACACAAGAAATCAGGTGAGCAGCAGATTGTTGTAGATTTTTTGAAGAGTTCAGATGCAAAAGCCTCTCTATGTGCCGTTTAAAAATGTTCTTCTAAAATGAGCATGTTTCAGTTCAGTGATTTCACTTCAATGGCAAATAAAAAGGTTCTTGTCATTGGCATTGAAGTGAAATGACTGAACATAAACACAGGAGCCTGAGAAAAATGCTCATTTTAGAAGAAAACTTCAAAAGGCACTTTAGAGGATTTTGCATCTGAACTCTTCATTTTATATTATATAATGGTGTGTCATGTTGAGAATGTTTTTTCTTAGTTTTGGTGTGTTTGGTTAGTCTGAGCCTGAGAGAGAGAGAGAGAGATCAGGTTCTGCTCCTCCTCCCTCCATCCATCGTCCGTATATAAGTGATGTGATTTGGAGAGAAAGAGAGCAGAACCTCTCCACAAACACACACACACACTCAGTCAGGATTTGTCCTCGTCTCAGTGATATATGTGGCTTCGTGTGACTTTACTCACCCGATCTGAGCAGCTCTGAGGGACTTTGGACACCGCGGCCGTTCTGCGCTTTTACGCACTGCTCTGAACCCCCCGCAGGAGGATTTTACAGGCGTCTGTAGCACTCGCTCTTCTGCATGAATCTCTTCGACTCCTGCCTGAAGATGAGCGCCGAGCAGGACAAGAGTCTCTCCGACGCGCCCAGCCCGAGCATGTCCGAGGACTCCGCGTCCGGATCGGGCTCGGACAGCGAGAGCAGCCGCCTCACAGACTTCAAGAAGGACGAGGAGGGAGACAAGTTCCCCGTGTGCATCAGGGACGCGGTGTCCCAGGTGCTGAAGGGCTACGACTGGACCCTGGTGCCCATGCCTGTGCGAGTGAACGGCTCCAGCAAGAGCAAGCCGCACGTCAAGAGACCCATGAACGCCTTCATGGTTTGGGCTCAAGCCGCGCGCAGGAAGCTGGCGGATCAGTACCCGCACCTGCACAACGCCGAGCTCAGCAAGACCCTCGGCAAACTCTGGAGGTGAGAGAGAGAGAGAGAGAGAGAGAGAGTTCACTTCATTTGACTTTGTTTCGTTTTGTTTGTTTAGGACCTCTCCAGAAGTCAGAGCAATACTGATTCATTTAGCAAACTTTGGAAAACTTTGTGTATTTATAGCATTATTATGCAATGGTTATAAAACAATACTGATAAGCTTGAGAAAATGTAACTAATTGGGTAGTGAGCTAAAACTGTAGTTTAGCCAAATAGTAAATACTTCACATGCACTTCAACGCAGAAAAAGTTGTGTAGTTGGTAAAAACTTTCAGTTTTAAGAAAAGATGCTGATTACTTGATTACTTTTTGGGTTTACGTAAGAAAAAGTAGTATTCACAAAAAAAAAATATCGTAATAAGTTGATTCAAGAACAATCTATTCCTTTTTTAAAGTTTCTTTATTGTTAATTGATCAAGATAAAAAAAAAAGTAGATTACTTTTTCTGAATTACTTTATTGCTTCTCGGGTTTACCTAAGAAAAAATAGTATTCAGAAAAAAAACTAGTAGTTATTTCAAAAACTATTTGCACCTTAATGAAATTTCTGTATCGTTAATTAAAGAATACAAAGAGCGTAATCTGAGCATTGGTTATTTCTCTGTAGGTTACTGAACGAGGGTGAGAAGCGTCCGTTCGTGGAGGAGGCCGAGCGTCTGAGGGTGCAGCACAAGAAAGACCACCCCGACTACAAGTACCAGCCCAGACGGAGAAAATCAGTGAAGAACGGCCAGAGCGAGAGCGAGGACGGCGAGCAGACCCACATCTCCCCCAACGTCATCTTCAAAGCCCTGCAGCAGGCCGACTCTCCCGCGTCCAGCTTGGGCGAAGTGCACTCTCCGGGAGACCACTCAGGTACTTGACTCTCGAGCAGAAACGGCATGCAGCCTTTGCACAACTAGCGACATCTACAACATCTAGCAGCAGCTCCTTATGTAATGCCTCGTTTGGAGCCTGCGGGGAAACTCGTAAATCTTATCTGGCATTGCTGTGTATCTTTATTAGGCCGCGGTCTCACTAGACTTTGAGCATGTGAAATTGTTTTTCGGTCGTGATATGACGTCACGCTGTGCGGCGTCTTTTTAAAAACTCGACACATAACGAATAACGATTCATCTAAAATGTAAAAACATACAATCTACTACACTTTTCTTGCAGCGCTGCAGTTTTACATTTATGCTCTTTTAATTCAGATAGGAGGTCATGCCGTGCCGCATCGATCTGCCGTTGGTCGCACAATTTACGTGATGCGAATTCGCAGGTCAGTTCACCAAGCTCGAACTTTGGAACGCAGCGAAATACGAAACTTGTCGCACAAGCATGCGTTTCCAGTCTGATGCATGAATAGAATAGTGTGACCGCCCCTTAAAGTCCTTGCACACTGAGTCCGAAATTTTCGTATTTTTCGTATTCGTCATCCTTTCCTATCAAAATGCATGCTACGGATGCGAAAACGCAGAAAATCGAACCTGATCCGAATTTTTTTTATGATGGACAAACGTTTCGGAGGCAGTGTGTAAACGTGATTGACGCAACGTGAGGTCGTTTTTATTATTTAACGTGCGAAAATTTGAGACGAGAATTTGGGACTTGCAAAGAGCCTTCTGGTTGCGTCAGCAAAAATCAGAACTGTGTGGTTAATTTTAATAAAGTAATAAGCCCCAAGAAGCCGTGGTTTACAGTGAATTTAGGCACGCCGCGAAGCGAATAAAACGGTTATTCCATATACTTAGTAAGGTTTCACAAAATAAAACAGAGCAACTAAAGTGCAATGATATTAATAAAAACAGTATTCTTCCACCAAACAATGTAGTTCCTCAGAAACGGTTGTGGTTCCAACAAAGTGGTTGCCGAGCAACACACAAACGTAAATAAAGGTGTGTGTTTGTAGAGTAATTTACAACAGCTTCGAACTTGGCTCAACCAATCGGAATCAAGGACCGGAACTCTCCGTTTTATAACACATATTTCACGTAATATATTAACCTGAAGGTGTACAAAGGAAACCAAACAATACAACCATAACAACAGCAACAACAAGTGGGGGACGTCTAACATAATCAAAGCATAATCTTTTAAGATTCAATTCGGTTGTTAGAGTAAATTCAATGATTACCGTGTGAACAATAGTGACACGCTATTGTTAATTTTTAGTTTAACGTGATTTCATTCTTACCTCCAGGTCAGTCCCAGGGTCCCCCCACTCCTCCCACGACCCCCAAAACGGACCTGCCGCCCAGCAAAGTGGATCTGAAGCGCGAGGGCCGTCCGCTGCAGGAGGGCATCGACTTCGGTACCGTGGACATCGGCGAGCTGAGCAGCGACGTCATCTCCAACATGGAGCCGTTCGACGTCAACGAGTTCGACCAGTACCTGCCTCCTCACGGACACCCGGGGGTCAGCGGCGGCGGCGCGCAGGCGTACCCCGCCGGGTTCGGGGGCGCCTGGATGTCCAAACAGCATTCCATGGCCAGCGGCGGCGAGCAGAGCCAAGGCCAGCAGCGGACGCAGATCAAGACGGAGCAGCTGAGCCCCAGCCACTACAGTGAGCAGCAGCAGCAGCAGGGCTCTCCGCAGCATGTGGCCTACGGCTGCTTCAACCTGCAGCACTACAGCAGCGGCGGCGGCGGCGGCTCGTACTACAACTACACCGAGCACCAGAGCCCCGCCGGCTCCTACTACAGCCAGTACCCCGCCTTCAGCTACCAGAGGCCCATGTACACCCCGATCGCCGACACGCTGCCGCAGGCGCACAGTCCGCAGCACTGGGAGCAGCAGCCCGTCTACACCCAACTGTCCAGGCCCTGAGGGACTGAGAGGCCATCCCGGCTGGAGACGAACTCAGAATGCTCCCGACTGTGCCTTTGGAGTTGTGATTATATTTTTTCTAGATATAATGAGACAAAGAGAATCCTCTGTGAGGACAGATTCCAGATAATTATTTTAGTATGTACTGTGTATGTGTCACGTGAGTGCGTGTTTCGTGTCGGGGGATTCGCGCGCAGCTGCCTGATGATATTTTCCTCTGTATATATTTGTGGGGGTTTCTTACAACTCGGGCGAAGTGTTGAACTGTCGGATGTACAGTCGAGTCCGTGCCTATCTCTCGTTTCTGTGAAAACTGCCTCTAGAGTCCGTCTGTGCCTATAGAGATCTTGCTGCTGGAGGAGGAACGGGAAGTGCCCTTTGACCCGAGGCTCCTCCGCAGCTCGCCATTGGTCAGATTGTCATTCCTCCAATCTTAACCTCTTTAATTTATTCATTAGCGTTCATTTGACTTGAAAGTAATACTATTTGCGTTATATCATTTACTCGGGCTTCGTACGACTAATTTGTGATTAAACGTTTTCGATTACGATTTAGTTGTAGTGCAGACTTTAACCATCTCATTTATTTATCGTTTGTTAATGTTTCCATTTAGAATGTCTGTCTAAAAATGTTCTTTTGGTAATCTAGTTGACGTCTAATTGTGAAACTTGATCAAGCCTTTCATAGAAACAACTGGAACTTGTGTTTTGTTTTTTTTTTCGTTCTCAAACATGTTGACTTCTGCTACATCTCTACAGAAACACACCAGCATTTATTTCTTTCCCCTTGTTTTTTTATGCCATAAAGAAAAACTGTAAAACATGCCACCGTCTTAAAAGAGTCTTATCTTTTGTATCATGTTGTTTGCAATAAAAAGAAAGATATTGAAAATGTCCTCTGCTTTAAGATGTCTTTTTCAAATCGGCTGTGATGGCTTTTTGTGAGAAGTGCATGACATTAACACATTATTAATCAGTGTTCATGCAATGAAATCAAATCTTAATAACAGCTGTAGAATGGAGGATGTACAGTAGAGGAGAGATGAAGACACCTGATAAAGTCATCAAGCACTCGGCTGCAAAAACAGCAGTGTGAGGATTTCCTCAATCGTTAGGAGATTAATGAAGCGGCAAACATGTCATTAAACATACACATGCCAGAAAAACAAGCAGTGAACTAGCCCTTGAGGTATTGTGGAGACATCATTTGTAAAAATGACATAAATACAGTATAAACTAAACACGGTTCTGTGTGTGTGTTGTAAATGTAGGTCTCATTTTGCACAGTCTTTGTGGGTCGTTGTGATGTTTTTATCGGCTGTTTGGACTGCATCGGTGAGCAAGTGATGCAATGAGACATTTCTCCAAATCCGTTCCACTGAAGAAGCATACCATCCAAGATGTAGACAGCAAATCTTCATTTTTGGGTGAACTAATTCCTTATCCAAGGCCCTAAATATTCTCAAAACTGTGACAGTACTATGAATTATCATGACAAGCTGTATGAATGTGATGTGAAATGTGATAGTGTTTTCTTTTCTCTCAGAAATGAAGGATTCGTCCTGTAAAGACATGATTAAGAAATGTATGAAGTAGAAACGACTGCTGTGTTTCTGTCACTTCAGGACCTCTTTGAAGGCCAGAATCAGTCGATAATATTTGACAAGTACAGTAAATATCTCAGTTGATCTGCATCTGTTCTCAAACGTCATATAATGATGCAAGAAGATTAGTAATAATAACAAAAATAATAATTAGTAGATTTTCATCAATCCAGCTATTAGCTAGCATGGCATGATATTATGACGAGTATTGAATGTGTTCATTTCAAAATCTACACTGCAAAAAATGATTTTCTTAATATATTAAGTCTTGTTTTCTGAAAAATTATCAAAATTATGTTAATTTTTGTTTATAACAAGACAAAACATCTGCCAGTGGGTCAAGAAAATTAATCTTAATTCAAAGGCAAAACAATATTATTTTTGTTTCAACAAAATTTTGATACATTTTGCGGAAAACAATCCTTAATATTTTAAGTAATTTATCAAAGTCCCTTTGAAGGAAAGTTAGTTCACATCGGCCTGTATTTGTCACCAAGATTCAATACTTTATTGTTATGAGCTCACCAAGAAAAAATGCTACGGCAATAAAAACACACTAGCAGAAACACTGATAACATACAGTACAGTAAGTGCCATAATGAATCGGCGGCATGCAGCTCCGATCTGGGGAAAGACCGAAACCCCTGAAAATCTCTCAAATCACTGGTTCAGATCATGTGTTTGCAGCTTCTAGAGTAACTGAACAGGCCGCCGGCTCTTTTAACTGGACGGTGGGACTAAAGCTGCTGTGATTTCTCCCATTCACGAAGGAGTAAAGCATCTGTGTCATGCAGCCTCAGGCCAGATCTCTGTACATCAGTGAGCAAACAGCCACAACATGGAGCTTTGTAATAGGATCTGCTGTACATATATTCCAACAGACTGAATATTTACACACTAGTAACATTTTACAATGCAGTAGGCATTCTTCAAGTCATTTCTTTAGATTCAATGAGTGTGCGTTTTCTTTTTTTATTAGTGACGTCTTACTATAAAAACAATGGAAAAACGAGCTTTTTTCTGCTGTGAAAATCTTCAGCTCAGAGCGGCAGAAGGATATGTGGAGCTCTGGAGAGATCGAACCCGGTTTAAAAATGAGGAGAAATCTGCTGTTTTAACTCTCATCCGGGTCTTTTTTAATCTCAGGTTTATCTTCAGAGCTTATTATTTTCTCAGGGCTTATCAGAGCAAGTTATGGATCCAGCGCCACCATAATAAAGGCTATAGTATTTAATGCCGAGGTTCCAGTCGTGAAACGGCTGTATCTTCATCTCACTCCCCACTGAGGAATAATTTTTGATATAATTGTGGATTTTCAATTCTCATCCTTAAAATTATTGTTATTTGGCTCCACCGTACTGTACACGCATGATGTCTTTGTTGACGTGACCTTCAAATCTTGTTAATGCAAAAATGTTTTCTGTTTAGGCCCTAAATATTCTCAAAATTGTGAAAGTGTTTTCTTTTCTCTCAGAAATGAAGGATTCGTCCTGTAAAGACAAATGATTAAGAAATGTAAGAAGTGTTTCTGTCACTTAAGGACCTCTTTGAAGGCCAGAATCATGATCTGTACAATGATCTGTATCTGTTCTCAAACGTCATATAATGAAGTATTGAATGTGTTCATTTCAAAATCTGCACTGCAAAAAAATTATTTTCTTAAGATGTCTTGTTTTCTGAGAAATTATCAAAATTATGTAAATTTTTGTTTATAACAAGACAAAACATCTGCCAATGGGTCAAGAAAATTTATCTTAATTCAAAGGCAAAACTATATAATTTTTCTTGCACCACTGGCAGATATTTTATCTTGTTTCAAGAAAAAAAACTAACAAAATTTTGATACATTTTGCGGAAAACAATCCTTAATATTTTAAGTCATTTTGCTTCTCAAGTAAATGCATCTTGGTTCAAGTCAAGTCAAGTCACCTTTATTTATATAGCGCTTTTAACAATACAGATTGTGTCAAAGCAACTGTACAACATTAATTAGGAAAATAGTGTGTCAATAACCCAAACACACTTGGTCACTCATTCTATTTTAAGCAGAAATACTGTATATTGATTTAAAAACAGCTCGACACACTACAGATTGACAGTGGCGTAGGAGCAGTTTCTCTGACTCCAGATGCTCTTTATTTGTTTGTGTTTAAAAGCGGCTGGCTGTTTTGTTTGGGGTTTGGTTTCACACCCCGTGGTCCCTCTCTTCCTCCTGCTCTGAGGACAGCATGTGCCGAAACACACGCTTACTTACGTCCAGTCGCTCTGTTTACAGGAGGACCTCAACACGCTTCAACATTTCTTATCAAGCTATTATTGTGTGAGAGAGGAGATATATTATATGATAGGACGTTTTGTTATCCACTTGATTTCTATATTGGCATTGCTCTTGATATCACAGATCCCAAGTGCACTTTTACAGAAATTATATACTTTGGTTACACTTTATTTTAAGGTGTCCTTGTTACAGTGTACTAATTCATTTAAGTACTAAGTAATATTAATTAACGACATGTACTTACTATAAGGTTAGGGTTTGGCTTAGGGTTACTTATATGAAATAATGCGTAATTTATTGTTATTATATTAGTAAGTGCATGTAACGTGTAACAAGGACACCTTAAAATAAATTGTTACCTATACTTTAAAAACAATATACTTAAGTCTGAACTGAATGTAATGTTTCTGTCGAATGCACTGACAAGCATTTACGGTAAAGTAAAATCGGTAACACTTTATTTTAAGGTGTCCTTATTACACGCTTCATGTGCTTGCTATTATAATAACAATAATTATGCATAAACACATGCAAGTAACCCTAAAATAAACCCTAGTCCTAACCATATAGTAAGCACATGTAGGTAATTAATATCACTCAGTACTTAAATATATAATTACACTGTAACAAGGACACCTTAAAATAAAGTGTAACCAATTTTTGAATGTTAAAATGTATTACATTTAAATGCAATAAATAATTTCAAAAAATTCAAAATTAGAATCAAGTACGTTAGATTATTTTGATATGCTGAATATTATCAACTTGATTTAAAATGTACTTTTAAATAAAGCCTGTTAATTTGACATTATTACAAAGTACACTTCATAAGGTCCTTTATGTTCAAATACTTCTAAGATTTAAAGTGCACATTCAGTACAATTAGGCGCACTTCTTTTTCACAAGGGATCTACATAGATGGCGTGTATGACATGCACTTAACCTGGAACAAAAACTATGCAAGATGTGTGTGGTAATTTATTGTGTATTCAGCGTACTCCTGACACAAACTAACACATTTACCTCGAAGAGACCGCCATGTGAAATAACACGTGCACACACAGTTTAGTCTCTATCTTTTGAGACACTGTTAGCCTGAAGGCTTTTAATCAGGAGACAGTTGTGCTCTGCAGGCTGATCCCAGAATGCACTGCAGCTGTGTTCAGACGCAGAGCTGGAGCGAATGGAGAGCTTTGCGGGGCAGCTGTGTGGAACAGGTGTTTTAATAAGAACAGATACGAGCAGCGCCATATGTGCAACACATGCATCTGTCCAAACCAGAAAGCAGCAGAGGAGTATCTGCAGGAAGCCAGCGGTCAGCGTGTGAGCTCACTTCCTGTCTGTCTCACAGCAGTCCACAGAGAGTGAAAGCCAACCCTGAACAGACATTAAAATACATCAAAGCAATGACCATTTTGATAAGCAATGAGCAGAAGAACCTTCAAAGCACTCTTAACGGGGTTTCTATACGGAACCAATTTCTAAAAACTATTTTAGGGCAAACTATTGTATATAAAAACACCCTTCTGTAAATAAAAGGTTCTTTACAGGTATATCTTACCAGTAGATATGCAATACAATGCATTGTACAATCTAATGAATAATTATAACCACAGGTAATGCATTATAACACATCAATTCATTGTTACACTATGCATTTTAAATAAGGTTATAATGTATTACAAGGCACATTATGAATAATTATAATGCATTAATAACACTTTATAATGCACTATACATAAAGACTTTAGGTAAAGTGCTACCTAACACACACACACATATGTTACTTTATCATGTTTAGAGTGCACAGTTTTGAGTTTTTAATTGTTGAATTTCAAAACTAAATTTAACTACTAAAAACATGAGTACAGCATGAGAGCAATGAACATATTAACAATAAGAGCATCGCAATGGTCATATCAACAGAGTCTTGTGGCAATTTGTAACTATTTTACATTTTGGTGAATTGGTGGCTAATT